CACGCACCCCTGCCGACTGGCTTCGGCAGATAAGGAAGAACCCTAAGCCAGTGATTCTCAAACTTTTGTACTGGTGACACCTTTCAAATAGAAAGCCTCTGAGTGCGATCCCTCTTATAAATTAAAAACACTTTTTTATATATTTAACACCATTATAAATGCTGGATGCAAAGCAGGGTTTGGGGTGGAGCTCGTGACCCCCCCATATAATAACCTCGCGACCCCCTGAGGGGTCCCAACCCCAAGTTTGAGAACCCCTGTCCTAGGTGCAGAAAAGAAGACATGTTCTGGGAGGTGCTGCAGCGTGATGAGAGACAGACCAGGGAATGGAAAGAGTGCTGGGAAGCCGAAAGGCAGGACAGAAAAGAGAATGCTGCATTTGCTAGGCAAGCGACAGAGCGGATGATAAAAGTTATGGAGGATCAGACAAAGATGCTCAAGTCTTTGATACAGCTGCAGACTGAGCAGATCCGTGGTCAACCTCCACTGCAGCACATGCACATGTACAATTCTTTGCCAACCCTCACCTCCCCCCTCCCATGCCCAGACATTCCTTTTCACTTCACAGCACTCCTGAGTTTTCCCATCACTCCATCCCACTCACAGCTTGCACAATGATAGCTGGAGCTACAAACAGTTGTGAGGTTTTACCCTTTTTAACAATAAATAAAGGCTAAGGTATTTAATGGTACAGCGTTTTTATTCTGTGTTCTACAAAAGCATATAGCAATCAGTTCACTCTTGGGAACAGGCTTCTAAAGCATTTTGTTACATGGAACTTGGGCCCGAAAATTGTACATGGCTGCAACAGGGAAGCAATTCCAAAGCAGATATGTGTTACTGCCCCTCATTGTCAAAGTGGTTCCTCAAAGCCTCTCTGATTTAATAGCAGCCCTCTAAGCTCCTCTGACAACCCTAGCATCTGTCTGTTCAAACTGTGCAGCCAAGCGCTCTGCCTCAGTGCTCCACACCTGAGCAAACATTTCACCTCAGATTCACACAGATTATGCAAAGTGCAGCACACGCCTATGACCACGGGAATATTATCTTCGGTAAGGTCTAGCCTGCCACTGAGACACCTCCAGCGACCTTTCAAACGGCCAAAGGCACATTCGACTACCATGCAGCACCTCTCAGCCTGTTGTTAAAACACTCCTTGCTGCAGTTCAGGTGCCCTGTGTAAGGTTTCATGAGCCAGGGCTGTAGGAGGTAAGCCGGGTCTCCCAGGATTACTCTGGGCATTTCCACATCCCCCACTGTGATCTTGTGATCTGGAAAGAAAGTCCCCGCCTGCATCTTTGTGTATAGGCCACTGTTCCTGAAGATGCGTGCGTCATGCACCTTTCAAGACCAGCCTGCATTGATGTCCATGAAACGCCCCCGGTGATCCACAAGTGCCTGCAACACCATGGAGAAGCATCCCTTCCTACTGATGTATTCAGAGGCAAGGTGGTTTGGCGCTAAAATTGGAATGTGTGTGCCATCAATCGCCCCACCGCAGTTAGAGAAACCCATCTCTGCAAAGCCATCCACTATTTCATGCACATTTCCCAGAGTCACGGTCCTCCGCAGCAGGATGTGATTTATTGCCCTGCACACTTGGAGTAATACAGCCCCAACAGGGGACTTCAAATTGATTTGCAACTGACTGGTAGCAGTCTGGATTCGCCAGCTTCCACATAGCGATTGCAACGCACTTCTCTACTGAAAGGGCAGCTCTCAATCTGGTGTCCTTGCGCCGCAGGTCAGGGGCCAGCTCAGCACATAGCTCCATGAAGGTTGCTTTACACATCCTAAAGTTCTGTACTCACCAGTCGTCATCCCACATCTGCATGACAATATGATCCCACCAATCAGTGCTTGTTTTCCTAGCCCAAAAGTGATGGTCTACCGTATGCAGCTGCTCTGCGAGTGCACAAAGTACTGATAAGTAGCTGCTGTCCATATCACATTTGGGTGCCTGTGATTCATCCTCTGTCAGTAACTTTGCTAGTAACTCTGCGAGTAACTCTGCTGCCATGCGCGATGTCCTCACGACAGTTAACAGCACATAGAAGAGAAGTGCGGGATCCATCCTCTCTCACTGCAGATGCTGGCGCGCAGTACAAAAGACTGACAGTTGGAAAAACGGCGCGAAAGGAAGCCAGAAACCATTGGAGGCTGGGACACAAAGCGGTGCATGATGGTACATTTTGCATGTCCGAGGATGCACCATGCTCCATTTCCACATTCCCACAACACCTAAAAATGGATGGTGTCGCTAGGCACTGTGGGATTCATACCCACAGTCGATTGCTCTCGCCGTCAACAATGGTGCCCCGAATGTGGACACAATTTGTCGACAGAGGGAGCAAATGTAGACACGCTTTGGCGACTTTGCTTTTGTCGATTTTTCCTTGTTGACATTAGTTTCATTGACAAAACTTGCCAGTGTAGACAAGCCCTTAGTGCGCCACTGTAGTACTTAGTGAAGATGCTACCTACACCGATGGGAGAGATTATCTTGTCAGCATAGGTATTCCACCTCCCCGAGAGGTGGTAGCTATGTCAACGGGAGAAGCTCTCCTGTCGACACAGCACTGTCTACACTGGGGGTTATGTTGGTATAACTATGTCAATCAGGGGTGTGGAAAAGCCACGCCCCTGAGCGACGCAGTTATACAGACATAAGTTGGTGATGTAGACCAGGCCATAGGGCTCATAGAATTTACCAGAGAACAATAACATTCTGAAACTTAAAGCAGTCCTAGGGCTCAGAATTTGGAAGGGGTAAAGATGGCTTAAAAACAACCCTGTCACCCATTCTTTCCTGAGGCCTGCTCCTGCTCCATTATAGTCAACTGGAGTTTTCTCATTAACTTAAATGGGAGCAGGAGCAGGTCTCTAGTGAATCTCACCTAAAGCTTACTTTAAGAATTTTAGGATGTAGCTTCCTATTAAATTCTCTCAGGTTTGCAGAATCATATGTATAGAATTTTATTTAATTTCTACAGAACCCCATTGGTTTCACCCTTATTAAATACCATAGGAATTTTACATAAGAGTTTATGAAGGCCAGGATGTCCATTAAGGCAACATCCACTTTCCTCGAATATGCTCCTTTTTCATATTAGTCTAGTAGTAGCAATACCAGTGAGATGTGAACACATGGTAAACAAAACCTGTGTAAAATTTGGTGTCATTGTTCTCTGAGTATACAGGAAAGCTTTATCATCTGGTGAAGGTTGTCAGGGTTGTTGACCAGGATGGTTCAAAAGGTTTTCTTCAGTTTGTGACATTGTTGTTACTTACAATGTTAGGCATGCGTGGGGACATGGTACATTTCTACTATTTGGAGGGTTTCATAGATTCATAGATTTTTAAGGCCAGAAGGGATCACTGTGATCATCTAATCTGACCTCCTGCATAACATATAGAAATTCCCTGAATTAATTCCTGTTTGAACTAGAGCAGCAATTTTAGAAAAACATCCAATCTTGATTTTAAAATTCCCATCAAATGGAGAATCCACCACAGCCCACAGTAAATTGTTCCAATGGCTAATTACCTTCCCTGTTAAAAATTTATTTCCTGTCTGAATTTATCTGGTTTTAATTTCCAGCCGTTGGATCTTGTTATACCTTTTTCTGCTAGATTGAAAAGCTCTCTATTATAATTTTTTTGTTCCACTTGTAGGTACATATAGATTGGATCAAGTTACCCTTATCCTTCTCCAAATTAAGCTATTCACACTGAGCTCCTTGAGGCATATTTTCCTATCTTTAATCATTCTTGTGGTTCTTCTCTGAACCCTCTCCAGTTCATCACCAACCCTCTTGAATTGTGGACACCAGAACTGGACACAGTATTCCAGCCGTGGTTTGTACCCATGCCAAATACAGAAGTAATATAACCTTCCTACTCCTACCTGAGTTTCCCCTGTTTAGGCATTTTATGGCCACAACGTCATACTAGGAGCTCATGTTCAGCTGATTATTCACCACAACCCCCAAATCTTTTTCAGAGTCACTGCTTCCCACGATACTATCCCCAATCTTATCAGTATGATCTATGTTCTTTGTTCCTACATGTATAACTTTACATTTGGCCATACTAAAATGTATAACGTTTGTTTTTGCCCAGCTTACTAAACAATCCAGATCACTTTGTATCAGTGACCTGTCCTCTTCATTATTTACCACTCCCTTAATCATTTTGTCATCCACAAACTTTATCAGTGATGATTTTAGGTTTTTCTTCCAGATCACTGATAAATTTAATTTATGCAATATTAATTTTGGATCATTCTAGGTTTTTAATCAAAATGTTGTGCAGTACTAAGTCCAATATACAGAAGTCTAAGTATATTACATCAACACTATTACCTTTATTAACCAAATTTGTAATTTCATTAAAATATCAATTTAGTTTGACAGGATCTATTTTCCATAAACCTGTGTTGTTTGACATTAATTATATTACCCTCCTTTAATTCTTGATCATCAAGTTCTGTATCAGTTGCTCCATCATCTTGCCTGGGATTGATGTAAGGCTGATAGCCCTATAATTTGGTCCATCACAATCCATCTTTCAAGTTAGAAGGTGCCAGTGTGCATTCTGGGAAACAACTGCCAAAAAAGCGGGCAGTATAAAAGCAAGAGGCTTTGTCTGGTGGGACACTCTGCATATGCCTGGGGCTGGCCATGCCTATTGTGCTCCAAGAACTGCAATATTCTTGTAAATCTGAAACCACTTTGAAAGGGACTTGATCAGGTCAGTAACGCATGAATGGGGACAAAGTGTAGTGAAGTTTACTGAAATGAGTTTGGGACGGCTACATTACTCTCAAATATAGTGAAGAAGTGGTGGAATGAGAAGCGTACTACAAAGCTGTCTTTTGCATCGGGACACCCCTCCAAGGCAGTTTCTATAGCTTCTGTGATTTGGCTCCCTTCTGCACTGTGCAGCAGAGTTGTTGCGAATGATTTCATCACTTATACTTTAAAAGTAAATGATCTTACCTGGTATGAAGTTAGAATCGAAAATACAAGTTCGACTCTCAGTGGTGTTCCCAGAACACTGGTTGCCCACAGGAAATAGAATGATACACTGACGAACGCGGAACTGGACTCCAGATGAATCACAATCAGACCACTCAGACCAGTCAGACCAGTTGTCTGTATTAGTTATAAAGAGAGGGAAATAATGGAAATAAGTCTTACAAATTAACCACATCAGAGTGAAAAATTAAATGTCTTGCTATAAATAACGACAGGATACATGCCAGATCGTCATCTGGTGTAAACTGGCATAGTTCCATTAACTTCAATGAAACTATGTCAATTCACATCAGCTGAGCATCTGTCCCATATATGGCAAAGACCACAAAAAATGCAACCTTCCCTCTGAAATTGAAAGTTCAGCATTGTAAATGTTCTACAGGATGTTACATTTATCACAGCAATAATACATCCCCCCCCCCACTGTACTTGTGTGCATGGGTGTGCAATAAAAAGTGTAACTATGTTACCATAAGTTTACCACTGGCCTTCAAAGCAGACGATTCCAGTTTGTTAATTTACATAACTGACCAGTAGCAATGTAGACCTATAGAAATACGTGGTTTGATGCAGGATGTTGGTTGAAATAAAAAACAGCAGGCACCTTCTTGTTACTCTGGCCTTGTTCTTCACTTCTGAAATCATAAGGCACTCTCTTATATCTTAAATCAGATCTCCAGATTGCTTCTCTTTATCAGGTTTGGTTCATTATCAGCCTCTGTTTCTTCTTTAGCTTTGCTCCTCTGCCTATCTAATTTTATTTAATGGATTTTTATTTTCACACCATGCTACCTCTGTGTGATCCCATGATATTGCTCTTAAATGAAGTGAATTTATCTGAACCATATTAGATACTGTGTATTTACTCATCTAACATCTTTCTTATAGTACATGAGTAAGTCCTGTCTTCACTGCATTTTTTTAGGGTTGGTATATAGTAGCAGATAGAGGGCTGTAAAAATTATTTGTTTCACTTTCCAGGAGTTAGTGGAAACAGAGATAATCTTATTCAACAACTAAGTTAGCTTTGAGTTTCTGGTTTGAGTTAAATCAACCCAATAGCCCAAAGCAAAACTTAGATCTCACGATGAAATTTCACCTATTTTTGTGTCAAAACCAGGCAAATTCAAAAATGTCACATGATTTCAAATGCAAAACTATAAAGCAGCCTAATTCTTCTGGAAAGTGGACCCAAGTTCATTCAAAATAAATTTAGTATAATTTGAAAGGGTTTTGAATCTTTTGGAGTAAACAGTCTGATTTTTAAATGAAAAACCTGAAATCAGAAGAGTCTCACATGGCTTCAGCTTTTACTGTGAATACTCTGCATAACTCTAGCATATAGTACTCATATTTACAAATTACCATTCTACTATCTCAAACAATAAAAGAAAGGCCTAAATCATTTTGAAAAAGTATGCTATAATATCTAATAGTGAATGTTTTCAGACTGCATTTTTGTAAAGTTTAGTTCAGGGTGCTATATATAACATAACATTGTTGAATATCTGCTCCCTAACTAAAAATTATGTTATAAATAAATGGGATGGGGAGATTGAAATAATTTTAGGGTATTAAATAAAATTCAAAAGAAGTGTAAGGCTGTCCTCACACTGCTGTAAGTTTAAAGTGATTCTGTCAGGTTAAAATTTTTAGCTCAGGTCCGCGACCCTAGCTGAGAAGCATACAGCTCTCTTAAACAGAAGCCTATGCACTTCCCCAGTCCTGACCTGGCTATGCTATATCAAAAAATATGGGTCAATCTGGTGGAAGCAATACTATTTTTGATTACACCCTCTAGAATAAAACCTTCCAAATGCCCTAAAAGCTCTATATTGGAGACTAGGCTAATGATCAACAAAATGCATTCACCTGTGGTTATCTGAATGTGAAATTATTCACCTATTTTCAGGTATGTGTATATGGATGAGGACACTCTCACCTGCGCTGAATGACAGCTCTTTCAGCTACAGGCACATACAGTTATTTGACATGAATGGTCGGACATCCATTTGAAAGAAGCACCAGTGCAAATAATTTGCAATATTGTTCAACAAATAAATACATGTGTATTACTTTGAGCATACAGCATCAAACTTTGACTTTTACTTCATGTTTTGTATGTAGGCACTCTACACAGAGTTACCTCACTGCGGTACATCGCAAGTAAACTTAAAACCTGGCCATCTGGGGTTGAGTCCAGACCTGACTATCTGGGCCATTGAATAGGATAAGAAGTAGGTCTTATGGCCAAATAATCAAGATATTTTTGATCCTTATTGTATGGAGTGGCTTTAGTATGGTGTTTCTTGTCACATTCATTCACTGCCTCCACAATCAGGGAGTTGGATGCAGGATGAGTGGGAAAAAAAGTCAGAGTCCTTAGCTGGGACATATTTTTATTGGTTCTTTTATATGTTGGTGGGCTCTGCTACAGGGTCTTGTCAGGATCGAGTAGTGCCTCATTGATGGGCAGGGCAACATGGGCAGAAGGAGTCCATTGAAGGATATCCAGTTTATGCTGTGATTCTTTGATTTTCTTCAAGGGGATCTGTAAAGAGTCTACAAAATGTTTAATTAACCCCTGGAAATCTCATTAATCATCAGCTATAGAAGATGGGGGAGGCATAACCATCTCATCTGGGGAAGAAAAAGAAATATTTATCTGTGGGGTAGCCTCCTTATCTACTCTGGCCTCCTGCTCCTCAAAGGATTCTTGAACCTGAGGAAGGTGAGGAGAGCTAGATAGGGTAGAAGGATTTTTTCTTCTGTAACCCCCAAACAAGACATTATAGGTGCCCCCCAAAACTGTAGGTGATATGTCACTGAAGGAGTCCATAGGACATGGGGTGTGGAATCACTGTGCTTGAACCAGGTTGTGGGGGCATGTGCTCGTCTTTGATGTAACTCTTCCTTTTCCTCAAAGGTTGGAGAAAGGAACTCAAGCGGGGGAGCTCCACCACTCTCCAAAGATGTGAGAGAGTCAAACGGTATTGGGAAAAGGTCCAGTCTTGATGAGCGTGCTTGTGTTAGTACAGATAATCTTTCAGTACCCACTAGCAGGGGATACTCTGGTTAATCTGAAAAAAATTACATTTTTGGAATATCTGAATTCCGGTAGTACCGGGTAAGTTTGAAGTATGGGGCTATGTTCCACTGTCAGTACCAAGGGTATAAACTGCTCCATCTGCACTCTTTTGGTAGATATAGTTGGTATCAATGAGAATGTCTTAGGAAATGTCAAGATCATAGGAAAGGCATGGCATTTACCTGGTACTGAAGATGTCTTGGAAGTCAATGTAGGTACAGATAGTACTGAGGGCATTGTAGGTACTGCCTTCTTAGAAGAGGAATGCTTAGATTCCTGTGCTGCTGAGTTCTGCTTCTGCAGCACAGATGGTCTCGGTACTCAAGCATGTTTGGTGCCCCTATTCTTAGAAGAGCCTGGAGCCCTGGGTAAGAGGTTGGTACTGACAGTGCCTGGAGCCTCAGTAGTATCCAGAGTGGGTCTCCAAAACGGACTTACTTGGAGGACACTGAGACTTTTTTGAAGTAGACCCCTTCTGAGGAGAATGAGCTATCTTTTCATGGGACTTCTCCAAAGATTTACCTTGGGCAGATCCAGGTGAATGTGCTGAAGTTGAAGAGGCCCTGTGCTTACTCCGATGCTAATGTCCAGGGGGGATCCTGGCATGGACCTGAGGCTGGACGGAGAGAGCCTTCCATCATCAAGAGGCTGAGACTTATCTCTCAATTCTTCCTAGCCCTGCCTTTAAAAGCAGAGCAAATGGAGAACTTCAGGGGAGCAATGAAACTCCCCCAAGCAGCAGATGCAAGGTGAGTGCTTGTCAGTAACCGGGGTAGCTTCCTGGAAAGAGAGGCACCGTTTGAAGCCCAGTGAGCCACGGAATACCCCAGCGCAATGGTGATCTGAGGAGAAAGTTCCCAACCCCCAAGGGGGAAGGAATTTAGACTGACACCTCTAAAACAAACAAGAAAGAAAGACAGACTAATTAGAGTAGTTCATGGTTTTGAGTAGAAAGGCACACTAATGCTCAATCTCAGGCAAAGGTGATTGAGAAGGAACTGAGGGCGGTTCAACCTCATAGCCCTATACAGCCTCAGTGCAGGGCATGAGGATATATAGGGCACATGAGTGGGTCCAACAGGCACTACTATCAAAAATCTGTGATCAAAGACATGTAGTGTAAGCGCACCTGAAGTTGAGCACCTATCTGTACATTAAGTGAAGAAGAATAAATGTTTATCCACGTTCTTCTCCAACAGAACTGAGCACTTCTTTCTAAAAATTCAATTCTTTTATCCATTATTTGTGTGTGTGAGTGACTGGTCCAAGGACAGCATGTTATTTCTCTCTTGGTGCTGCCACAAATACATTATTCTAAGTACCCAATATTGTTGTATGCAATACTACATATTATAGACACCATTGCTACAGATAACATTCAGTGATATGCTATACATAAAGAATTACTGATCAATGGTATAGACATTCCATTCATTTAAGTAAGATTTTGTTTAGTTAAAATTAAAAAATAGGAATATAAAATTGAAAAGATAGTTTGAGAAATAGTTATTGTGCATAAACCATTCTGTAGTTGTTTTTCAAGTGTAAATATCTTGGTCACTTCCAGTTGTAACTGACATTAAAAAAACCCAAACGCTTAACACCTACTGAGGATCAGCAGCATGTAAAATTTAATTTTCCGTTAAATTTTGGCAAAATAAAACTGTTTGAAATTGCAAGAGCCCTTTTTTTCTTGTTCACCACGTAAACAATTATCATTATTTTCTTGTATTAAAAATTCCAACTGGGTTTGTAATTTCCAGATGCCAAGTTTCAACCAAAGATCTGTTTGCAATGACTACATTCCTTTCCCTCCTTAAATCTTAGATTTGTACACTTGTTTTAAAAATACAGGCTCTCTGTCCTGCAAATTGATCGGTATGAGCATACCCTGTGCCTGTGGGTGGTCCCATCAAAGTCACTGGCGCAGCGGTCTGTGCACATGGAGCACTGGGGTCACAGTTTTGGCCCATAATGTGTAATAAGAACAGTAAAAGAGAGCTGTGAAAAAAGCAGCTAGTGCATATGGCAATGGCTACTTTTCAAACTACATCACAGCTAGTTAGAAGACGTATTTGTTTTTGAGGGGGAGACAGAAGAAAACGAACTGCAAATTTTCATCTAAAAAGTAAGCTTGGTTTTTAGTTAGATTTGAATATTAAACAAAGCAAAGAGGTATGTGAGACATCTGTGTCACTCTGATTATTAAAAAGGCTTTAATGTAGATGATAAATGATTTTTGTTGGAAAAAATAGATTAATAATAAAGTCATAATAAGCTAAAGAGCACAAGTTATAAATGCCTGAAAACTGGGGTTGCAAATGGAAATGTTAACAGACCACTAACAATAGCAGCACTACAAGAGAAACCACTATAATAATACTGGAAACAGCACAAGAAACGTGACAGTTCTGGCCTTTTAAAAATGCCTTAAGGATCTGAGGCTGCTGTGATAATTTTTAAGTACATATATACTCCATCCCTCTTGAGGAATCAAATCAACAACAGAGTTCTATTTTCACTTTTTAAAACCTAAGGTGGAGAGTTAAGTTTGCTGTAATTTTGACAGAGTAGGTGCTATTTTATTCCACTGCAAGTCATGAAGTACTTAGAAAGGGAAATTACCCAATAGTTTGGGTAATAGCATCTATACATTCACACTCTTGGGTCTTGTATGCTCATGTACATGACCTCATCACATGAGAAGTAAGTTTATGGCATAAAGTTTAGAAACCCCTCAATCAAGCAGGTAACACTGCTCTACAGCCAAAATGCTTCTGAAATAAATGTAGTCAAACTTTACTAATTCTGAGTCACTGAGAACGAAAATGATGCTTAAAATTGTTGATTGGCTCTAGTTTTCAAGATATGCTATTGGGTCAGTATATACGACCCTTGACTTGGGAATGGTGGAGGATAAGTGAGTTCTAAAGGGAAGGGATCTCAATTTAAACCAGAAATGACTAAAATACATCTTTGACTGGATCTATGAATAAATCTATGACTCGGTCTGGACAGTACTTTCTTTTTAGCCAAAACAAAGAATGATGCCAGCTGAGGCTG